CTGTCCTGGCTATAAAAATGCACCTGATGGCGCTGACTGGTGTGGCTCAGTAGGCTGGGCGTCATCCCACTAACAGAAAGGTTGTTAGTTGGATTCCTGGTCAGGACACATGCCTGGGTTGTGGGCCAGGTCACTGGTTGCGGCATACAAGAGGCAACTGATCAATGTTTTTCTGGCACATCCATGTTTCTCTCCCTCTCTTTTTCCCTCCCTTCTCCCCCTCTAAAAGTAAATAAAATCTTTTTTTAAAATGCACATGATGTTATTTACCATTAAATAAGACCATCAAAAGACATCTATACCGAAATTTCATGACCCAGTAGTTTAAGAAAAATGAGCCTTATCCTGCTGGGAAAATGATCTGTTTTTGTCACATCACACTGAAGAATTAGCTCTGTCACAGGATTAAAGTACAGCCATCTGAGGACAAAAGTCTAGGCAGAAAAAGGAACAATACTGAAATTTGATAAAGACCCCTGAGGAATATGGCACTTAACTGTTTCAATGGCACCTTTCATCTCAAAACAAATGTTATTTACATTACCAAGAATCAAAACCATGGCCCAATAAAGAAACACATCAATGACCTAGAGGGAATTCAACACTGATGTTCTGAACTCAGCCTTCTGCTCTACGAACAAGATCTAGTTTTATGTAATAGTACTGTGGTACAATAAGAAATATATATTTGGTCTTTGTTCCTAGTTCCTGGTACAGAACTCCTAAAACCCTTAGAATTTCCTGAGGAATAAGTCTCTTGTTATTTGTAAGAAATCCCTTTCAACCACACCTGAGTTTATGCTAATGCCGTGACTTGTCTTCGTGGGCTCCAAGATAGCTCCAGAATGAGAGCTGGTTGCCAGAGGAACCAAGCACCTGTGTAGAAGGTTGGAACTTTCATGTGCTGCCTCCAATCTGGAAAAGCCAGAGAGGCTGAAAACTGAGTTAATCACTAATGCCAATGATTCAACCAATCATTCCTAGGTAATGGAACCTCCACAAAAACCCCTAAAACAAAGGAGTTCAGAAAATTTCTAGATGATGAGCACTGTGAGGTACTGGAGAGAGGTGGAACCAGAGAGGGCATGGAAGCTTCCCATACCCTGACCTTTGCATCTCTTACATTTGGTTGTTTCTACGTTGTATCCTTTACAATAAACCTGTAAACATCAGCAAAGTGGTTTTCCCTAGTTTTGTGAGTCATCCTAGGAAATTATCAAACCTGAGTGAGGAGGGGGTCATGAGAACATCAAATTTGTAGTGAAGCCAGAATTTGTTGTGAATTACAGGTGGCCCAAGGCTTGCCACAGGCATCTACAATGGGGGCAGTCTAGTGGAACTGTGTGAGTCCTTTAACTTGTAGGATCCGACACTAACTAAGTACAGGTAGAGTCATAATTAAATTGAATTCTTGGGCACTCAGTTGGTGTTACAGAAATGGACAATTCATTGTGGTGTGGGAAAAAAACACCCACACACCAGTAGTTAATTCCTAGTCTGTATTTGTAAAGCTTGGAGATACAAATGGATTTGTTGATATAAACCCCCAGTTTACCTTGCCGCACATGAACACCCAAAAAATTAAAGCGATGTTGCAGAACAGTACTAATAATAATTAGCATTAATTTTATGCCATCGATGTGTCATCTTTGTGCCAGGCACTAAGCTTAGGATAAATTATTTCCAGTGTATATAACTTGAAAATATAGATACTGCCCCCAAAAGAATATGTGAAAATTAAATTTTCCACTGCACACAAGTGGCAGAGCTAAAGACTAAACTTAGTTTAACACTCAAATTCCTACATTATATCAACCTTTATTTTTTTATTATCTGTATAAAGTAATAAATTCTAATAACAACCCTGAAGAGAACATGTCCCAAATTATACTCTTGAAAGATCTGTCTTAAGAGATGCTCTGTTGCGCTCTGGCCAGTGCAGCCCAGTTGGCAGGAGCATCGTTCTGTAAAATGAAATGTTGCAGGTTCGATTCCTTGTCAGGGCACATGCCTAGGTTGCAGGTTCAGTCCTGGTCAGGGGTATACAAATACAAGAGGCAACCAATAGATGTATCTCTCTCACATTAATGTTTAACTCCTCCCACTCCCCTCCTTTCCTTCTCTTTAAAATCAATGAGCATGTCTTCAAGTGAGGATTAGGAAAACAAACAAAAAAAGACATGCTTTGTTGAAAAAAATAATACCTCTAAATTGTAATCTGCTTCAGAGTTAACTATGTTCTTTAGCCTCTTCTGTTTCTTCTCACTCTCTTAGTGATCTCATCCAGATTCCTGGTTTTAAATACAATCTGTCTGACACCACCACCAAGAGATACACCTCTAGCAGATCCTTTCTCCTGAATTCCAGATTCATAAACCCAACTACCTATTCAACACCTCTACTAAGTCTATTAGGCATCTATAACAAAGTATGTCCAAAACTGAGCTACTGTTCTTTCTTTCCATACTTGTTCCTCTTTCAGGTTTCCCCATCTCAATAAATGGCAACGGCATCCTTCCAGGAACTTAGAGCAAAAAACCCTGGAGTTGTCCTTTACTCCTTCCTTTCTTTCTCAGCACACATCCAATCTATCAGAAAAGCTAGTCGTCTTTACTTGAAAAATATATCTAGAATAGGACCATCTGTCACCATATTCACTGCTATCCCTAGTGCAAACTGTCATCTTCTCCCATTTGGAGTACAGCAATAGCCTCCTAACCGCTATTCCTGCTTTCGCCCTTGCTCAATCTACCACCAGTCTATCCAGCACTGCAGCCAGAATAATGGTAACGTTGAAATGGAAATCAGATCATATCGTACCACTGCCCCAAACCCTCCAAAGACTTCACTATCCACTTCACTATTTCACTCAGACTAAATCCCAAAAAAGAACAGGACCAGAGGCATCTGGGAGCTTATCAGAATGGGCCCAACCTCAGACCTACAAAATTACAATCTGAATTTTAACAAGAACACCCTAGGTAATTCGTGTGCACATTAAAGTTTGAAAAGTATTTGCATAAGGCAACACAACATAAGCACCCATCCTCCTCAACCCTTGCCATTCCTCAGGCAAGCTTCATGTCTCAGGACATTTGCAATTGCCATTTGCTATAGCTGGAATGCTCTTCTCATATCCTTTTACCTCTTTCAAGAATTTGTTGAAAGGTTACCTTATCTATGAAGCTGTCTGTGAATACTTGGTCCCTCCCCTCAATATGCCCTACTCCTCTTTCCTACTTCTACTTTTCTCATTACATCTCGTCATCATAGGTTAAAAAACTGCATGTTTACTTATTTATCTTGTCTAGTCCATCTCCCCATATAATATAATAAAATAAGCTCTATGAAGGCAGAGATTTTTGTCAGTTTTCTTCCCCAGTGTCCAGAACACAGTACTAACTCAATGTTTTTAAACACATAAAACAACAAACAAATAAAGTTTCTCTTCAAAACACTATCCAATATGTTGTATAAAATGGTTCCTTACCATGCAAACTGATGTTTCCTTAGTATCACATTCAACAAATCTACTTTTTAAAATATTCTGTGCCCTATGTAGGTACTGTAAACACTACTGTTCATCCATGAGTAAGGATAGAAATTTAAAAATCTGATTCATGAAGGGGCTGTGTCATCAAAGTTTGCAGAAAAACTGTGTCTTTGAGTTAAAAAAAAAATGCTTACAGCTCTCCACAAAGCCAAAACAATCCTTCATATCAGAGACTTTCAACCTTTTCCATTTCATGGCACACATAAACTAAAAATAGTATTTTTTGCCAATCTGACAAAAAAAGTATAATTTTGATTGATTTACAAAAATAATAACAGTAATTACCTACCCTTTTTGCTCCAAAGTGACTTTTTAAAAAAATCAGGTGCCTGTACTTGAATATAATGATCTCTGATACCAAATATTAACCAATCAGACACAACCTTATTATGCCTCATGACCAATCAGATGCACCTCTATTTTATGACCTAGATATCTATGGTTCAGACAGGACATTCACACAGGATGACTACTGTTGTGCTCTTGTTGTCATTGTTCTATTTGGCAATCTAATGGAACAGAAGTCAGTGCCTAACTAAATAGTCAGGTATTAAATGTTTTAAAAATTCTTGCAGCACAGCAGTTTAATAGTGCTGCTTTATAGCAACAAAATAGTCTTCCACACAAATTTTCTCATCTGATCCTCAACAATTCCTTGAGGTCTTTGTAAAGCAAGTAACAAAAAGCCCATTTTAGAGGTGAGAAAACATACTCTGATTCTCAAGGCATTATAGTAATAATGTCAAAACTGGGACTGAAGTCTTCTATTTCTATGATATATCTTCTCTTGTAAATGGTATTAAAATAGACTATAAAATCATAAAGCCACATATTATGCTGAAGATATTAAGCTTTCTCAAACCATTCGGTGTCTATGCAGAATGAGAACAAACAAACTTAGATCAACAAAGTCACAATCTCAACTAGAGGAATAAGACTTCAATTTTCTTCCTGTTATTTATAAGTCTAACCCAGAGCCCAATGACATTTAGGAAGAATTTAAGAAATTAGTTGTTATAGCCCTGGCCAGTGTGGCTCAGTTGGTTCGGCATCATCTTGCAAACCAAAAGGTCATAGATTCAACCCCCAGTCAGGGCACATGTGGGTGTTGGGGGTTCAGTCTGCAGCTGGGGCACATGCAAGAAGCAACCAGTAGATGTTTCTCTCTCACATTAGGGTCTCTCTTTCTCCCTCCCTTCCCCTCTCTCTAGAATCAATAAAAGAAAAAAATGTTTTTAATTAGTTGTTATACTGCACATTAAGAAAGTTCTTATTAAGCTATGTCAATTACTAGAAAAAAGAGAATAGCAGAAAGAAAGATGGAACAAGTGAATTGAGAATTGAGCTCTACTGAGGAAAGAGTCAAGGTTATAACCTTATTTTATTACTTCTCTGCATGCCTAAATGATGTGATTTTGCAATAAAAGAAAAAAAAAAAAAAACATACCTCCTCAAAATCCCAGAACAGCTTTCCTTTCTTTGCATAGATGAGGATGAAAAGTTGTAATCCAAAATGTTTCCCAAGAAGTTATTTTTTAAAAAGACATAGAAATAGAAGATCCATATGAAAAGAGATCCAATCTGGGAGGATGAAGACTGTCTTCTAAATCTTGTGATCAAGAGCAGCTGTTCACCGAGTGTCAGCATCTGAAGAAAGTACTAACTGTGGTTATGTCTTCTCGAGAGAGTAATACCTGCTGGGACAAAGGAGCAAGAAAAGGAGAAGAAATACTACTGAATGCAAATGACTGGCTGATAAACAATTACCAGTCATTAATCTCAAAATTTTTCATGTTGGAATTAGTGAACATTAAAAGATCACATGGAGGTAAATACAAGTGGGCAAGCCAACTGACAATGGGTTATCAATGACAACAGCAATCAAAGGTACACTTCAGCAGGTGATCCAGTCTATGATTAATAATAAAGCAGTATAGTAAAATATAAAAATCTATTTCATGTTTTTTATAGCAAGATGATAATCATATCATACAAAAACAAACAAACAAAAAACAACACAAATATTAGGTAGTCTGCCAAACAGACCAAGCACCATGGTGCCTTACAAAACAAATACTGTATAACTACTAATGGAGATGTCTGTGTTAGCAGAATATATAGAATAATCATACAAAAATATATATGGGGGTCTGGCAGAGAAACAAAGCTAATGTGGAAATGAAGGGACATCAAAGTTAATGTGACATATTAGGTGGTTTTGTGTACTCTTGTTAGATATCTTACAGATTTAGGAATCTGTTATATTTTGGTAGCAAATTAAGGCAATATTTCTTGGTATCTACCCAATCACTGCATTTCCATCAAACTGAAAATTATAGAATACATGGTGGGGCAAAAATAGGTTTACAGCTGTTTTTATGGAAAATACAATAATTTATAAGTAATAATACCTATGAATAAACTGTTTGCCCTGGTGTGGCTCAGTGGATTGAGTTCTGGCAAGTAAACCAAGATGTCACAGGTTCGATTCCCCAGTCGGGGCACGTGCCTGGGTTGTAGGCCAGGTCCCAGCTGGGGGCATGCAAGAGGCAAAAAATTGTTGCATCTCTTGCACATTGATATTTTTCACCCTCACTTTCTCCCTCCCCTCCCATCTCTCTAAAATAAATAAATAAAATCTTTAAAAATAAAAGATGGTACTCACACACAAAAAAGAGAATAATCTGCTTTGCATACTCACAACTGTAAACTTACTTTTGCCCAATACTGTATATAGTGGGCTGAAATGGAATACAACGAATGGGATTAAGAACAGATAAGACAGTGCAGAAAAAGATCAGTGAATGTAAAGACATAAGATTCGAAACTATACAAAATGAAACCTGGAATATAAGAAGTCTGAGAAAAAAGAGCAGAGCACACTGAGCTATGAGACAAACTCAAAGAGCTAAAAATATATGTGTAACTGGAGTCTTGAGGGAAGGAAGAATTTAAAAAAATAATACCCAAAAATGTTCCAATTTGATGAAAACTATAAACCCAAAGATTCAAGAAACTCAACAAGCACAAAGCACAGAAATCTGAAGAAAAATAAAACTCTACTTAGGAGCCATCAAGATAAAATTGCTTAAAACCAGAGATAAGGGAAAAAATATTAAAAACAACCAAAGGAATACAGAATCAAGAAAATATTTGCAGATCATATATTTGATAAGTAATTACTATCCACAATATGGAAAGAATCCCATAATTCAAACACAAAAAAAATTAACAAACCTATTCAAAAATTGGCAGAGGACTTCCAGGCAAGGTGGCAGTGTAGTTAAATGTAGTACCTGCCTCCTTCCACTACCACATCAAAATTACAACTAAACTACATATAACAACCATCATTCAGAACCACCTGAAATCTGGCTAAATGGAAGTTCTACAACTAGGGTATTAAAGAAGCCACATCAAGACAGGTAGGAGGAGCGGAAATATGGAACAAGCTGGTCCCACACGTAGGTGTGGAAGATAAAACTTGGGAGGGATATCTTGGCTGCAGAGGTCCCCGCTAAGGAGCCAGAGATCCCATCTCCACACAGGGACCGCCATCCCAGGATTCTAGTGCCAGGAAGAGAAGTGCCCGTAACTTCTGGCTGTAAAAACCAGCGAGGATTGAGACTGAGGGAAATGGGGGTTTCTGGAGGCCAGAGCAGCTCCTCTTAAAGGGCCCGGGCACAGACTTACTGAGACTCCCTGTGAACTCCAGCATTGGAGCAGCAGCTAGAAAGATGCCAGGGAAATACAGGAAGAAACTGAATTGTCTAACATCAGAGCAAGGGCTGGACAGGCAGCTTTCTCTCAGAGAGAAATGCTGGCAATGACACTGTTCCTTTTCTGAGACTTACCCCCACATGCCAGAGGGCAGGCACCATATCTCAGTCTCCATCAATCTGGCTAAGGCCATTAACCCTGCCCTGGTGATTCTGAGGCCCCTGCCCCACCCAACTTTCAGGTCCAACCATGTGGTTTCCAGTGGCCTTCTTACACAATTTGCCTGTCTTGGCTCATGCTTCACACTTTCCTAAAATCTCTCAAACAAGCAGCAACTGGCCTCAGTGTGCCTCATACATCTCTTAAGTGGCTAAAGGCCCTGGAACTAGCAGCAGCTGACCCTGGTTCACAGATCAGCCTCACCTGGGCACCTCCAAGACAAACACAACTAGTATCCATCTGCAGATCACTTTGTAGCTCATGCCAGGTGGCCCTGGGCAGAACACAGGTAGTGGCTGACCTTGCCTTGCCCCTCCTGGGAGGCCCAAGAGCCAGCACACTCAGTGGAAAGCTTCAGACCACGTCGAAGCATTACCACCCAACTGTCTCCATATGCAACACACTCAAGGGGTGAACTTAGTAGGCACCAGAGCCCCAATGAAGTAAGTCCTGCTCTGTGGGATGGGCCAATCCTCCACAGCAGTCGGAGATCGGTGGTCACAACAGGTCCTTGCGGCTAATTATCCTGGGGATAAATCCCTCCTATTGATTTGACAATAGCAATCAAGGCTCAACTACAAGAGGGTATTACACACAGCCCACACGGGGATGGGGGTGCACCTCAACTACCAAGCCTGGGTGATCAGGGAGGCTGTGCCACTGATCAGAATATCCACTACTGAGTGGGCCAAAAAGTCTTTTATGTTTTTTCCATGAAATAAAAGACACGTTTTTCATTTTCACCAATAACTTTACTGATTTGGATATTTTGAGTATGTTGGCTCTCTCTTGCTATTGGCTTCTAGTGGGGAGATGCCTAGGGTGCTGCTAAACATCTCCCACAGCAAAGAATTAGTTGGCCAAAATGGCAATAGTACTAAGGAACTTCATATTCCTTATACGATCAGTTACAGCACCTTCTCCATACAATGCACAAATCTTTTTTTGTGTTTCAGTTGTGTTTTTCCCTTTCTTGAAATAATAAAGAATAATACATCAAAAATGTTCCATAACTTCTTTCATCTTCAATATTAAAATGGCTGCACAAAAATTCAACAATTTTGATGAGATGTTTTTTAATGCACGCTGATTTGGCAGCTGTCATAATATAATCTAACAAAATTGTTTTGAATGAAGTTAAAGACAACTAAGCACTACTACATTCATCATACTGAAAAAACCCAATGGAATCTTCGGCCAACTCGATACATTAGGCCACTCTACCAAGCCTGGGAGACCTAGCAGTTCTCCCTAATACATAAGAACAAATATAAGAAGACTGCCAAAATAAGGAGACAAAGAAACACATCCCAAATGAAAAAACAGAACAAAACTCCAGAAAAAGAACTAAACAAAATGGAGACAAGCAATCTACTAAATACAGAGTTCAAAACACTGGTTATAAGGATGCTCAATGAACCTAGCGAGAACCTCAAAAGCATAAAAAAGGACTAGGCAGAAATGAAGGATACACTAACTGAAAAGATGAATTATTTAAAGGGAACCAATAGTAGAGTAGAAAAAGCCAAAAATCAAATCAGCAATTTGGAAGATAAGAAAGCAAGAAACACTCAATAAGAACAGCAAAAAGACTATACAAAAACTTCAAGAATACCAGCATTCACATCATGTGGGTGCAGGAAGAAGGAGGCAAGAAATTGAAAATCTATTTGAAAAAACAATGATAGAAAACTTTCATAACCTGGTGAAGGAAATAGACATACAAGTCCAGGAAGCACAGAGAGTCCCAAACAAGATGATTCCAAACTGCCCCACACTAGGACATGTCATAATTAAAATGCAAAAGGGTAAAGACAAAGATATTAAAAGCAAGAGAGAAGCAGTTAGTTACCTACAAAGGAGCTCCCATAAGACTATCGGATGATTTCTCAATAGAAACTTCGCAGAACCAAAGGGATTGGCAAGAAATATTCAAAGTGATGAAAAGCAAGGACCTACAACCAAGGTTACTCTACCAAGCAAAGCTATCATTTAGGATTAAAGGGCAGATAAAGAGCTTCCCAGAAAAGAAAAAACTAAGTGTTCATCACCACAAATCAGTATTATATGAAATGCTAAAGGGTCTTCTTTAAGATCAAAAGTGTGAACAATAATATGGCAATAAATACATATCTATCAATAATTGAATCTAAAAAACCAAATACATTAACAAGTAGAACAGAAACAGACTCACAGATACAGAGAACATTTTCACAGTTGCCAGATGAAAGGGAGGTTAAGGAGGATGGGTAAAAAAGGTGAAGGGATTCGTAAGTATAAATTGGTTGTTACAGAATGTCATGGGAATGTAAAGTACAGCATAGGGAATATAGTCAATTATATTCTAATAACTATGTAGGGTGTTAGATGGGTACAAGACTTATGGAGATGATCACTTAGTTATGCAATGTCTAAGCACTGGGGTATACACCTGAAACTAATATAATTACCTATGTCAACTGTAATTGAAAATAAAAATGATTTAAAAATGAAAAAAGGGGGCAAAGGACTTAGAAATTTGTCCAAAGAAGATATATGATTGGCCAATTAGCACATGAAAGATGCTCAAAGAAATTGGTGAAAAATGTAAAACAGTACAGCTACTGTGGAAAACACTATGGTGGTTCCTCAAAATTTAAACACTGAATTACAATATGATCCAGCCATTCCATTTCTGGGTATAGAGCCAAAAAAACTAAAAGCAGAACCTAGCCAGTGTGGCTCAGTTGGTTGGAGCATCATCCCATAACTAAAA